CGCCACGAGGATGAATGGCGAACCAGGTCGAAGAAGAGCTAGAGCTTCGGTGTGGTGAGAAGCGGTTGCGATCGCAGCAGATTGAAAACCGGGAGTTTGGCTGTTGCTTCCATCAGTTGCGAGACGCGGGTCGTTTGTGACGGTGACCGTAGAAGACATAAGAGAACACATAGGTGAAGGAGGGAAGGCGGGGTGATCTGTGAGTGGGGGGTTGAGCGGTTGAGTTAGGCATAGCAAAAGCAGTAGTAAGCAGTGTGTTCCATGATTCGTCAGTGGGCGTGATACTACCCGGTTGCCCAGGCCGAAGTAGAGGGTTGTCATAGGAGGCCCTACCCCGAGCCTTTGATCAAAGATCTAACCTACAAGGCAGCAGGGCGATGTGAGGGCGTCGCAACCCGTTGGGAGCCGTTGACTAAATAGATGGTTCATACGCCTTTCGGTCCTTGAAGGACCAGGGACCCAACATACCCTTGAAGTACAATGCCTCTCAGGGCGGGACAAGGGGCAGTGACTTTATTTAATGGCGAGTCACCTTCGCCACGTCGCAGTGTTGTTAAACAGACATTTGTGGCTTTTTATGTGGGAGAACGTTTGCCAGGCGAAAACCCACCACGTCCTGGAACATTGCCGCCGAACCATTTTCTGGAACGGGGAAAACCCGAACCCCCCAGCTGGCACCACGAGGAGGTTGTTCGGCAAGCCAGCCTAGATGTTGGAGAATGCCGACCGATTGGGGTCGGCTGTTACTCGTTTTACTTGGATTACGACGGCCTTGTCTGTAACTTGACTCAGCCAAGACGCGTTTCAGTCATCGTTTATACCTGCGTCAAAGTCGTGTTATGGCGCAGTCTGGTGCAGCTAATTTACCTTCGCTGATACATTTGCTGTTTCATATGCTTTGATATCTGAACTTTGCTAACCTTCCGCAGCTTTTAACCAAAGTTTAGATGGAAGGGTTTTTCTTTCTGCGTTATCGATCTAAAACATCCGTTTCTGTTTACTCTTACCGTAGCGCAAGTTTTAGGATTCTTGGGCTGCATGCTTTATGATTTGGTAAGAGATAGCCTGTTGTGTGATAGCGCCACAACCGTTTCCAATCCGCGTAGTAACAAGCATCCTTGCGGTATACTCAGCCCACGCGCAACTGGTGGCGGTCGCGCGGCAGCGAAACGCCTTTACGGCGTACAGCTGACGCTTTATTTGTGTTTATTATTTCCACGACATTATTCAAGGAGCTTTTTCCTGAATGAACCACCACATTTCTAAATCATAGTTACCGGCTTCATGAAGATGGTTGACAGGAATCTCTGACACGTCTTGGATGAAGGTTTGGTTTAGACGATCTTGCTTGCTGTGTCCAGCTTCGATATTCCTTTTCGATTGGCGCACGCGCCAAGGGACATCAATGGAACAATGGTTTATTACGGGTAAAAAAGCATCGCTTAACAAGTCCCGTGGGATGGAAATTATTGCGAAAATCAGTTGCATAATAAAGTGAAAAGCTTTGTGGTGGACTCACCATAGACTTATGTGGAATAGCGGAGATGTTCGCGTATTAAACGTATAAATCCATTGGTTAGGCGTTTGGCAAGATACCGCTTGATTGCGTTCTGTAGCCCCTGGCTAAGAAGTCATAAAATAAAATGTAAGTGAGACAATGCATCATCAACAGGTTTTTTAAATATCGCCAGATTAAGAGCAGAGACGACATAACTAGGGAGGGCGTTCCAAGGCTGGCACACGCGAAGGGAAAAGAAATTTCTACGGCATTCAAGCCGGCTATACTGAATTGTCAGTTTCAGAAGGTGACCTCTTAGTTTAGTGTTGTGGTTCTGTTATGGGGACCCAACGTCCCTATAATTATTAAAGGCTGAAATTACGGAAGACTGAACACCCGATTCACTCGAGTGCACATGTACTCAGACCAGACAAAACGCACACGTTTCAGTTAGCCTTCTAACTCGTGTAACATGCACTTTGTTTAGCCTTTGCACCCGGAAACAGTCTTGTTTCCAACCAAACACGCATTGTTGTATCCAAGCCACATTCATTTTTTCGGACAACTCTCGCCAAACTTCCAACATTTCTGCTCAGTTCAATGACTTCGCACATTTACATAAAACCATGTTTCTTGTTTCCAGGGTTTGCTTACGCAAACCCTTCAAAGGAAAAACCCCCCTTCATCACCGCTTCGTGATATAAAAATGAGGCTGTAGAACGCTAGAATCGCCTTCGCTTTGACCAGTAAAAGCGGCTGTGGCAAAGGCCTGTCTTGTTCTTGCTTCAGTCTTGGGTTGGGAAATCGTGCGTAGAAAACTTTGCGTTCGGTCTAGGAACCTGTTCGACTCGCGTGAATTAATCTTTCGCGGCTAAGTTCCGAGAACCCACAGACTTCGAGATTGTCAGTTACCGTGCCGTGCGAGAAATAATTCTGAGTCTCGTTCGTTCATGCGCCTAGGAGAGTTGGCATCACATTGTTAGAACCTGACGTATTCAAGAGGCAGTATTCAACAGGTGCAATTCTAGCAGCGGACGGCAAATGTGGTTTGGGTTCTTCAGAATCTGGTAAACCATTATTAGATCCCCTGCAAAACCCGATATCGACTGCTGTACATTCATAGCGATTTCAGTCTAATCTGATAAGGCATATGAAAGAGGCCCCTGACGTTCTTGGTTGCCCTTCGTTGAGGAGCCTCGAGAGCAACGAGATCCTGTTTCTGCCACGGCTGCTACGCCGGAATAACATATTCCACGTGCGGTCGCACATAGGCGTTAATCATTTGGGGAAGGATTGTGGGTTCAAACCGACCGAAGGCTCTACGAAGAAGGCCGAAGTTTTGATTGCCGGTTCTCGTCGCCTACTCTGCTTGTTTTGAACACCCAAGGTCTTCCTGTACCAATACACCCAGGTCACGCTCCTGAGAAACCTTCGCCAAAGTGTGGTCTCCAATCTTGTAAGCGCTCATCGGCTAGTGACGCAGATGTATCTTTGCACTTATCTATGTTCAATTGAAGCTTGTCCCTCTTTGACCATTCGTGTTGGAGTATGATCGTGTTGGAGCAGATCGTGATCTGGCTTGTTACTAATCGCTTGCCATATCTTGACGTCATCGGCGAAAAGCAAGAAATTTGAGGAGATGACTCTTGCCAGGTCGTTGATAAACACCAGGAATAAACGCGTTCCCAGCACTGAGCCTTGTGTGACACCACATTCCACTTCAATTGAGTTAGATAGTGATCCCCTAACACGTACTTGAAGCTTCCGTTGTTGAAGGAAGCTGTCAATCCAACCAAGTACAGGATCTCCGATTCCGTAACTCTGAAGCCGTTGAAGTAGGATGCGGTGATCAAGGCGGTCGAAAGCTTTGGAGAAGTCCAGATAGATGGCGTCGACTCCGACCCCATCATCGGCCACTTCCGTCCAACTACCTCGTGCAATCAGTAGATTGGTGGTGCATGACCGGTGTTGACGGAAGCCATGCTGTTCCGGTACCAAGATGTTGTGTTTTTCCGGGTAGTATAGATGCGCGTCCCGCAGAATCCGTGTTGTAACGCACGTGCCGAGTAAAACGTTTTTTACATCAGTGAAGGGTTCTAGTGTTACGCGAATAAGTCTGGGTTCTCCATAACGCGCAGTTTGGGGATGAGTAACCCTTACTAGGTCTATGGGTTTGGCTTTGATGCTCATCAGAATTCACATTGAGTTCCACTTCTCTTTGTCGTCCGGCAACATACAACCCGATGTGATGGCGGCAGAATGGGGGACATTTGAGCACATGTCAGTTAACCCTTTGTGTCCTGGCGGCACTCATAAGTACTAGTTTTTTAAATTGTATTACTACTTCAGTGAAAGCGTCATTCTTGCCGGTACTCGCGAGGACACGTCAACAATTAATTAAGGGCCGGAACTCCGTTACATTGCTCTACAGTGTGTGTAGTAAACTTTTGTGGTCCATATCGAGCAATAGGTAAATTAATTCAGGACACAAAGGGTTGAGGAGCTGTTGTTAGCTCCCTTTCTCATCGAGCTACAGTAGGGCAATCGCTTGTATTAACCTTCTGCCAAGCGGTGATTGTCTGTTGATTGCCTCCCGGTTCACTTTCGCGTTTTGCAACAGAGGCGATCGCATGGGCTGCCTCCCGGCTGACCTTTGCAGCAAGCCCTGCATGTATAACTGATGTCCCGAGGGACATTGGCTCGACAAGAGACCTTTGAGCCGCAGGCGCATTGGGCTGGTTTTCGGCTGCTTCGTCCTTGTTAATGACAGGCGTTAGGTCTAGTCGAATTTTGTTTACCAAACGTTTCTGGAGGTGCCTGATTTTCATTGCCATGAGTGCTGTTTGACTCTCGTAGTTACGGTCGATTTTCGCCTACCGTTCTGCCAAGGTTGAAGGGTACAGCGGCGATGGAGACCTGGCTGATTGCGTTTCAGAGGAAGTAAATTGTACATCATTTCTTTGCTTAGAGGTCACTAGGCTCCCTGCTGCCGACCAGCTTCCAATGATGTAATCTTATCGTTCCTCTGCTGCTCGGCATCTGCTGTTAGCCGGTCGCACTTCTGGACTAGGACAAGCATGCATATAACCGATGGGATTGTCGAATGAGCAGTACATAACCATAGGACGTCTTGTGAGCTATTACGCTGTTGGGATAAATTTGCACCCTTCGGATGATACGAGTTGAAACAATGCGAACAGGCTAAACTTACATAAATTGCTCGATGACATTCTGCTAAAACGCAACTACCCTTCGCCTGGAGCCGTTTTGGATTCGTGTTTGCTTGGTTTCTGCCATTCAGCGTGGTACCGTTACTTGACCCATTGGGTTGGTTGATGTTCTGTGCTTTACCGGCTTTGATGGCAGTGCACATCAATCAGGTGATCGTTATACGTGCGAAGGTCACATGAGTGGTCAGCGTGGCTGCGCGGTCTCTGTGCCGGTTTTGCAGGTGCGCTGGCTGGCAAGGTCACGAAAAATGGCGCTTGACTGAGATTTGAAACAATTAGATCCCTTTAGTAATTTGAATAATGCCGTAAGAAGACGAACACTGGCAGATGTCAACATTTCGTATTGTCTCTTCAGTGCCAACACAATAACATGAAAATATATAAGACGACAGGTAGGGTGAGACCGGAACAAGTTAGAACAGGGTAGAGGGGCAGGCGTGACACCCCTACGCCCAGGGCAGCCGTAGGCTTACGAACAACTGTTTCTGCACACAGAGTGCGGGTTTGATACGGCTGATCGCGACTGCCTCTGCAAAACGTAGGAAACGGGTGTTAGTATGTCTTAACACGATTGTAAACATTGTGGCCGGATCAAACTGGTGACAGGTGGCCAGTAAATGCCTACCTATGGATGAAGCAGGTGGTTTACGTGAACAGATGGTATGAGCAACCGAGGACTGGGTGATTTGACGCTGCAACCATTTAGGTACATGTTCCCTTATTCTGGAATTCAACGATCGATTGGTACGGCCGATGTAGTGTATACCACAACTACAAGTAAATTGGTAAATGCAATGTGAGTTGGCGCCAATAGGTTGTCTTTCCGTCATTGGGGTAACAGGTATTCGATTAGTCCGGTTGATAAGGACAGTTTCAGCAGCATAATAAGTCCTCTGGACTGCGGAAATTATGCGCTTCGTTGTCCTCATATTGGCAAAATCTCCCTTAAATGGTAGCTCGATGTAGATCTTCTTTTTAGACACTGTCGATACCTTCTGTCCCGGCACCCTCGCCTGACTATGTTTGTCGATGAATCTACTTGGATAGCCATTTTTCAACAGCGTATCCTTGAGCGAGTTTATCTCATCATCTAAACTGTCGGTAGTGCATATTTTCCTTGCACGGTTGAATAGCGTCTTGACTAAGGTCCGCTTGTACCGCATTGGGGAGAAGCTGGTAAAGTGTAGGTACTGCCCTGACCAAGTCGGTTTTCGGTAAACCTCTCTTTTGATGGACCCATCTGCTCTTCGGCAAATCAACACGTCCAGATATGGAAGGCAGTTGTTTTTCTCTATTTCCTTGGTTACTTTCAGATTCGTATGCACGTTATTCAGGCGATCGACTAGACGCGCAATGTGCTCCCCTCATGAGCTAAGCACTAAAATATCATCCACATATCGCTTATAGTAGGAAAGCAGCGATATTTCCACACTCAACTTCTTTTCAATCATCGACATGAAAAAATCTGCTAGTACTGGGCCCAACGGACTACCCACTGCCACCCCATCTATCTGGCGATAAGGAATGTTTTGGAATTGAAAACCGATGTTCTCAGTGCACAGTAGTAAGCTGTCCTTTAATAATTCGACTGGCATTGGAAGAGTAAAATCGGAGCACTCTGCCATTTCACACACGTAATCAACTGTTTCATGTAGCGGAACATTGGTGAAAAGCGATTGTACATCCAATGTGGACATGACTTTATCGGATAGGTTAAACTCATCTAAAGCTTCTGTAAGTTCGAAAGAGTCCTTCAGACGGTGTGGGATAGTCTGCTGCTTTAACGGCGAAAGAACTTCTACCAGCCAACGAGCCAACTTATGTTGTGCCGAGTTTGCCATTGACAAGATTGGTCTAAGCGGTATACCACATTTATGGGTCTTTGGCAAACCGTATAGCTGAGGTATGTTGGACCCTCCCGGTTTTAGGTTGTTATATACCTCATCATCAATTACACGGTGTAAGAGGAGCAACTTTAGGTGTTCCGTGATGCGTCTTTCCACTTCACTAACATCCTCTGTTCTTGTAAGGAGTTTAAATTTGCTAGCATCACTCAGTAAATCTTGCATTTTCCGTGTGTATTCTTCCTTGCACATAATGACGGCTCCTGAGCCTTTGTCTGGCTTAAGTACAATCACCCCCTTCGTCCTCAGCTCTCGTAGTGCATAAAGGTGACGCCTTGTTAGCAAACACTTCTCACGCACTGGCGTCATTGTGACATCATGTGCAATATCAGTTAGTTTGTTTCTAAACCAGTTTGACATATCTGGACTAGACGCCTGTAATCCTGTCGAGGATTGAAAAGAAGTTGAGTGTGGAAATATCGCTGCTTTCCTACTATAAGCGATATGTGGATGATATTTTAGTGCTTAGCTCATGAGGGGAGCACATTGCGCGTCTAGTCGATCGCCTGAATAACGTGCATACGAATCTGAAAGTAACCAAGGAAATTGAGAAAAGCAACCGCCTTCCATATCTGGACGTGTTGATTTGCCGAAGAGCAGATGGATCCATCAAAAGATAGGTTTACCGAAAACCGACTTGATCAGGGCAGTACCTACACTTTACCAGCATCTCCCCAATGCGGTACAAGCGGACCTTAGTCAAGACGCTATTCAATCGTGCAAGGAAAATATGCACTACCGACAGTTTAGATGATGAGATAAACTCGCTCAAGGATACGCTGTTGAAAAATGGCTATCCAAGTAGGTTCATCGACAAACATAGTCAGGCGAGGGTGCCGGGACAGAAGGTATCGACAGTGTCTAAAATGATGATCTACATCGAGCTACCATTTAAGGGAGATTTCGCCAATATGAGGACAACGAAGCGCATAATTTCCGCAGTCCAGAGGACTTATTATGCTGCCGAGACTGTCCTTATCAACCGGACGAATCGAATACCTGTTACCCCAATGACGGAAAGACAACCTATTGGCGCCAACTCACATTGCATTTACCAATTTACTTGTAGTTGTGGTATACACTACATCGGCCGTACCAATCGATCGTTGAATTCCAGAATAAGGGAACATGTACCTAAATGGTTGCAGCGTCAAATCACCCAGTCCTCGGTTGCTCATACCATCTGTTCACGTAAACCACCTGCTTCATCCATAGGTAGGCATTTACTGGCCACCTGTCACCAGTTTGATCCGGCCACAATGTTTACAATCGTGTTAAGACATACTAACACCCGTTTCCTACGTTTTGCAGAGGCAGTCGCGATCAGCCGTATCAAACCCGCACTCTGTGTGCAGAAACAGCTGTTCGTAAGCCTACGGCTGCCCTGGGCGTAGGGGTGTCACGCCTGCCCCTCTACCCTGTTCTAACTTGTTCCGGTCTCACCCTACCTGTCGTCTTATATATTTTCATGTTATTGTGTTGGCACTGAAGAGACAATACGAAATCTTGACTGAGATATCTGTAAATTGCAATTGAGTACTGGGCGAGAAGAGCCTATCGTATAGCATAAGAAAACAACAGCAAATAATGTTTGAAAAATGCGAGTTCCAGTCAACTCATTTTCCCTCAGAAAGCACTTTCGAACTAATGTAAAAATAATTCCAAGAGCACTTGAAAACCGAGGTGTTTCTCGTGTAGCCAGAAGCGACAAATCCATCACAAACGCAGACGTAAACTGGTATTTGAAGCGATAAGATTAGTACAGAAAGAACCGCCCACCTTGTAGCGCTGATAAATCCGAGTCGAATGAACAATGAATTTATACGGGTTAAGAAGCGTTGCGTTGCAAGCCCCGTTGGATAGTTGGTGGGGATATCAACATGCATGTAGGCACAAGGATGTGTCGCAAGTTGGTATTGGACAATCCATAAAAAGACAAGCGCGACGAATCTCAACGTCCGTATTGGTTAGATGATGTTGTCGTGGTGCAGGTGTATTAAAACAATAGTACTTCTAGGGTACATCTGCAACCGAACAGACTCTTGTCAATGGGGCTAAGCATGAATCTCCGCCGTGCAGCTGCATCGTTTGCGCTCTTCGTTCTCACAAAATGATTCATCTTTATCCATTGAATGAACATCAGCTTTCGTCGATTTGGGTAGTGGTAATTTGCTTTATCCCAAGCCATGCTGCAGGGAATTATTTCCTACAGATCACCATTCCATCTATTTTACCTGTTTTACGTCCCCCGTGTTCAAGCCCACGCTTATAGCTTTTTCGCCTTTTGATTAATTGGCCGTGTTACTTTGATCCATTGTGCGAACACCGCGCCATACAATATGCTCGGGCTTGCTCATTTGCTCCAATACGTCAACAGAATAATACGTTCTCCATTGTTTGCCAAACCTAAGCAATGAGCCTATGCACATCCACTCGGTTGGATTCGCTCACTGGCAAGCCGCACACCTATCGGTCTGCCTCAGCAGACGGAGTGGGCAGGCGAGTAGACACTCAGCTCGCGAACGACAATAGGCGTTATCCCAAATTCGACGCCAGTTGTAGAGGATCAAAAAAGTACAGCCAGCGGTCCGAATATGGCGCAACGCGCCATGTGCTCTTTATAGCATTGCGGTAAATTGCTTAGGATTGGGATAGCGTATTAAAATTCAATTGGGTCATTGCCTCCTAAACGTATTTACATGACGCCAAAAGAAGTGGCGGAGCACATCAAACCAGTCGATGCCCTTTGCTTTCGTCCAACATTCTAAGTAATTTTATTTGTCCACCCAATAAGAAACTTGGGTATTCATTATTCAAGCAACCTCTATTTCGGGAGCAGATCGACTTCATAGCAGCGAAAGTCCGCCAAACAGCGCGAATAATCTTCAAAGCACTGATATTGCGTGATTCCAAGCTGCATATGTTCAAGATCTGCGTGCGTCCTGTTTTGAATACAGTTCAATGATATTTACTAGTTGTAGGAAACGTGATCGTCTATGCCTGGAGAATGTGCAGCGTCTATTCACCAAAGCCCTAGTTGCCGAATCCCCATCACCAAACTATTCAGAGAGCTGTATTCTGCTCAGATTATAGCCGTTGTGGCTACGGAGATTGAAATGAGGCCTGAAGTATCTATTAGAATTAATGCACAAACGAGTATTTGCCCCGCAAACTAGTATACACTTCATTCCGAATGGAAAGTATAAGTCAAGTCAAGAATATGTTTCATGCACAATGGAAGGATAACTATTCAGCTTCAACGCACACCCCAAGGAAATGGATAAATAATAAAATGAGGTAGTACATACGGATAAATATAAAACCAAGATTGCTTAAAAAAGATTTGGCAGAGCAAATATCGCTAGAGTAGTTTACTAATCAGTTTGTGAAAGACTGAATTTTTATCCTTTAAAATGCCTGAGAGGAAAGGAACTACAGATGTACCATAGGTACTTGGCTGGCGTATATAGTTTTGTAAATACGTCCCCATGCTGAGGAGGATGTTGCATTCTTGATGATTCGTCACCGCAGTTGGGCCAAACCAACTTACACTTAAACAAGGTCTTTTTAGGCTGGATAAATTTCATTCCACTTACTTGGTTTGTTCTGCCTACCTGAATAATGTTCTATTAACTGGCCACGTTGCTTACACTAATTGCGCTTATCTTCGGTAATTTTGTTGCGTTCGTAACATTCTTAAGTAACTTGTGGACATTTCTTACTTATCGCGGATTCGTTGCTAACCAACTTACTTCATATGCTAATTTAGCAAAGAGTTATGCCGCCGTATCTATATGCATTATTCGATTTATTTTGTTTCAGCTTGTTTAAAGTGAATGGCTGTTGCTTGATATCCCCGGTGTGGATGCGATTGATGTGCATGTTGACAAAGTGCCTACCTGTCTATTACCCACTACCTCGTCCATACTGGCTCCAGGAGACAGTTGGTCGTTGCTGGAGGGGA